TTCCCTTCCTTGTATTTGCTGTGAATGAAGTCCCAATCACTTCTGAAATAGCACAATGCCACCAAATAAACAGTATATCTTAATGATAAAAAAAAGAAGAAAGAAGAATGAAGAGAGAGAGAGGGGAAAAAACCAGCACACAGTAAGGGAAACAACTACTAGCAAAACCACAGGTATCTCTGATGCAGTAAAGAACATATGAAAACACTAACTGCCTTTCTTAGTAAAAGCAACCTTTCTTTCCAAATTTGTATCAGAATGAAAATCCCCCTTGCACTCTGTTGCCTGTAATGTTAAATCCATAACTCCTTCCACTTCTCTTTCTCTCCAAGAAAGAAAAGCACAAGTAATATCTAACCATAAATCTTGCACTTTGCTACCATTTGTCCTACAAGTAGTGTAAAACTGTTCAATTCTGATTCAACAAGAAGTCCGAAGGCAGGAATGTCTGAAAAGTGGTAACAGAGCAGGCATCTGCCTTAATTCTCTACTGAAACTGAAAACTGTGGGAAAATGCTTTATAGGGAAAGCTCTATATTAGAACAGGGAACACTGAAGAACAGCTAGGAAACACAGTGAAAAAAGCAGAGCTGAAAATAATGCATACTTATGATTCAGCACCTGCCACATAAAGACATGTAGATTAACACAAGGTGACCTGTAAGCTGTTAATGAATGTCTGTATGAGCTGAGCTGGTAATATTCAGCTGAAATCCCTCTCTCATTTGAAATAGCAAGTACTTAACAAAGACCTGTTTGTTATCTACTCCCCATGCTTCCTGTTACTTGGGCTGCCAGCCAACAACAGTACCGTGAAGGCACCCAAATTAATGTCAGCATGACTAGCAGCCTACAAGATTAAAAAAAATCAAGTTTCATCTCCAATCTTGAAACAAACTAAACACTATTCTATCAAGTCTCCTCCATTAATAAATAAATAACGATATTAAAGACCACATCTTTGTTAACGCTCTACTTTCATTAGATCGTGCTCAGGAGAAGTGTTGAAAGTTTGGAAAAGGTAATTAAAAAGTTAAAAGGAGTTTTGCTATTTGACTCATAAAACAGTCTTTGGCTTAGCCTCTTTCTAGCCCACTTCTTTTACATGTTGCTTGTAAGATGCTTGCAAAAAGTGCACTCTATGGAAATCTAAAGGTAGTGGTCTGTAACAATTATATTATTAAATAGCAGTGAGGCTTCAAACATCAAGAGTTCAGAGATAGAATGCTAGAAAACGGCAGTGCAATCTGACAGCCTCAGTAACCTATAGATGAGTTACTTCACCATAAAAATGCAAAATTCTTTCATCCCAAGGGTTCTAATAAGTCAGCAATGAAAATGTACATATGTTCTCCAAAAGTGTGTGAACACATGAGTCGGAACTGATCGGATCCTAACTTGCCATGCTGTTAATGACAGGCGCTAGCAAAGTGACAGCTCTAGCCTTTTTTAGGTTTATAGTTGTGTTTCAGAGTCTTTAGCATGGATGAAGATGAGATTTTACTTTTTAATGTAAAAGAATGTCAAATGCTCTCAGCTTACATAGTTCCAGTAAACACTGTTTTAAGGAAATTACTAAGTACTTTGAAAAATTAAAAACTCCAAGTGTTGGTCATGCTGGACTTTCTCTAAAAAACATCAGAGATTTTTAAGAGGTGACAGTTTCAGTTACACATGCTTTTCTGTTCTTGACCTAAAATCAGTCCTGTGAAGATCATGGATCTATGGCTTCTATTCTGACATAAAATCTTTGCTTTTTAAAGCCCTACAATCCTCCAATGACAGACAAAATACTAATCTGTGTACTAAGGCAAAAATCCAAATATACTCAATACACAAAGCACTTTTATATGCTCACTACAGTCAATTGTCCAATTCAAAGACTCTTCTTATCATGTACAATACTATGAATGATTAAGAATAATTGAAAGATTAACTGATTATGAACTCAGTATATGACACTCGCATACAGCACTTAATTTAATTCCTATAGATTATTACTGTCAGCTAGATACTTGTCAATGTACATAGGCCTACTTTGAACTGTTCCAGGAAAAAAAAAAAAAGCTTTTTTTCCCTGGAGTTAAGATGCTAATCACAGGATATGTAGTTGTACCTAGCTATGCAGCATGCTTTTCACCATGATTTCTTCTACTGCTACTTTTGGGATGTCTTTAAACTGAAACAGGACAAAATTATTTTTGGTTCTTCTTAGAATCTACATCCATTATTTGTTATTGTGATAGATGAGACTATAATTTGTTAGTCAGGCAAGTGTCAATATTAATACCCTAATAAGTAATTGCTTCATTACATCTCTTAAATGAGACTGACTAAGGAAAATTAAAATAGCCTTTTCATGAGAAGAGAGGAAATTGGGGGGAAATCTCCAATCCACCCTGCTCATCATGGTCAATCCAGTACCACATAATGAAATTGAAAAACAAACAACTGAAAAGGAAATGAAGCATCTTCTCAAATATCAAACAATTAATCTATGAAATATGCATCCATATGATAACATCAAGGTAAATTCTTAATTGGAATTTAATTAAAAAAAGAGAACTTTACTTCTGTAGATTCTAAAAATAGGTAGCGGAAGTGACTTTAGAGCCTAAATCGCATATGCTTCCAAACATTTTGGGAAAGTCAGATTATCAGTCAGGCTAAAATTGTAAGGATAAGAAACACTAGTTTAAAAACCCTATGTTTCTGCAGAGTAAATTAGTGATTAAACTGCAAGGGCCATGTCTTTGTGTGCTTTAAAAATATAACTGTCCTGGTTTTGGGTGGGAAAGATTTGACTTCCTTCACAGTAGCTAGTAAGAGGCTACGTTTTGGATTTGTGCTGAGGAGAAGGCTGATCACATACTGATGTTTACAGTTGCTGCCAGGACAGTGAAGGACTTCCCAGCTTCTCTGCTGTGCCAGTACCTGCAGGTGCAGGAGAAACTGTGAGGGAGCACAGCCCCAGTTACCAGCCTAGGATTTGATCTTAGGTTTAGGACTGAGACCCAAATCAGCCAATAGTATATTCCATATCATGCACTTCATGCCCAATATATACACTGGGATCTGCCTGGAAGTGCTCTCTCTGTGGATCGTCTCCCTCTCTCTTGGGGTCATCTCTCACTCTCTCAGATGCTTGGGCTCACATCTCTTTTCCAAGATGGCGGTTTTGGGACTCTCTCTGCTCCAGGATTGTTAGCTGGGAACAGGCTGAGCCTTGGTCAGCGGTTGGTGATCAGATGCTCAGTGTATCACTCATTTGTATATTTGCATATTATTACTATTATTAATTTCAATTCTATTTAGTTTAGTTATTAGATTTTTCTTATCTCAACCCACAAGTCTCTTTTCCCTTTACCCCTCTAGTTGTCTTCCCTGTCCCCAGGAGGGGGGAGGGTGAGCAAGTGGCTGTGTGGTGTTTGCTGCTAGCTGAGTGTGTTAAACAACAACAGTCCTTTTCAGCACCCAATGTGGGGCTTAAGCAGTTGAAATAATGACAGACTTGGCCAGAGTGTATCAAAACAAACTTCTGGTAAGCATTTCAAAATCATTTGCCACTTACACTGTTGGAAACAATGATAATGGAGTAAATGGATATATTTCTCAGATGATGCCTTTGTTACCTCTCTTTTCAGTTTGAAACTAACTAATCATTGGTGTTGAAGTGCCATCATTGTAACACCATGCCTTGATGGCATAAAATTTTACATCCTCTCTACAAGCGGTTACAGGGTGGGAAAAGATAACAATGAGGATGAAATGAAATGACAGGACAGTTTGGAACTGTCATAAGCTTTCCTCCTCTCTCTTTTCATTTTAATGTAAATACTACATGCTCCATAAAATAACCTCTGTTGTTGTTCTTCTATTCATCAATAATAAGTAAAATACTTCTCCTGTGTGTCTGAAACAGGTTGAATAACAATGCTGACCCTAAAAAAGGATTCTAAATATAAGACTTCAAAAAGAACAGACAGAAGTTTTATGAAGAATTACCAAACACTCTGGCTACAAATCCAAGAGGAAACTGGGAGGCAAACATCGTGAGAAACCACGGAGCAGCATAGAGGCTGGGGCCAATCTCATGTGCCTCTAGGTGGTTATAGAGATCTCGATGGTAGTCATGAAGAAGCCGAGACAGCTGATACATCTGGATCTGCATGGAATAAGAACAAAGAGACTAAAAATAAACATGTTTTACACTCATGATAGCAAAGTCCATGCTTCACACTCTTATCAGAAACCACCTAAAAAACTCAGCATGGGTCACCTGTGAGCCTACAATAGGCTCATTTGCAGAGTCATTTGAACATCATACAACGCCTAACAGAATTCTTCATATTTATGGTTTTCCTAGTTTCCCTGGTAGTCTTTTTACTTGAAACTAGTGCATTTAAGATGATGACTTCTTTTCCCAGATTATCCTTTCCTATTTTTGAGTACCGAATTTAAGTTCCACTCCAGATTGTGACAATGCTATCTATATTGCATTATGATGATTTAACATTAGCATCCTTTTATCAGAAAAATTGAAAACATACCTGTAAAATTGTCATGTCAGGACGATATTGTTTTCTCAGGCCCATGTCAAACATGAGAAACTTAAGCATTTTAAAAGCATCTTCTTCACTCATATGAAGTAGTAAAACTCCTGCTACAAAACTAAGGCCCTGGCAATATCCTACTTCCTGGTCCAGAAGCGAATAGGCTTTCAAAATATTGTAGAGTGACAGCTGTCCAGCTCCTAGCTGTGCTGAGAAGTAAGGATGTGTTGGAAATGTGCGCCCTGTGAAAACAGCTGAAGTTAGAGATTTAAACTTACAAAAAAACCCCAAAACCTTGCCATGTTATTAAATTAGAGAGTCTTTCAAAAAGGTTGATTCTTTTGAAAGGTAGACTCTGAGCCAACCCACAGGAAGACCATAAGAAAGTTAACAATACAAAACAATTGACTCTTACACTCTACTACTGTTTTGTTACAGTAGTTGCAAGATTAGTTCAGAAACTGGGGGGGTGGGGGAAGGGGGACGACGCTCTTTTGTTTGGAACAGCTGAGTAACTGGTTTTTGCAACTGGCCCTTGAACAGTTTTTTAAAGGGCTTAGAGGGGTTGGTTGCCTATAATAGTGGGAGACTTGATTCAATGGCTTGATGAGTCACCCAGTCCTCTTTTCTTGATTAAGAAGTGTTAGCTTTTAGACAACTACTAGAATCCAGGCACAGACTTAGAACATCGGAGCTCTCTGGGTTGGGGCCCCTTCCATTGTCTCTTCTCTTCTTGTCCTTTTTTCTTGTCTCTTGTCACCTCTCTCCTTGCCTTGGTCCCTTCCAGTCTTATAGGTCCTTCTTCCTTTCCTGCACCACAAACCTCAGACTCTTCCACAAGCTGATCCAGTTCACTAACCTTGAAGAAAAATCCCTTTACATGGGGTTAGTTGTTCTGCCCTGTTCTCAGCTCTGTCAGCTCCAGGAGGTGTCCCATGAGCAGCAGCACAAGTGACAAATGCTTGGAGAACAAGAGTTAGTTGTTGGAGCAAAACTTTCTCTTGGTAGCAATGGGCTTTGGATCTATTCCCCTCACCTCTTTAAATCCCAGCCTAAGGTAAACTATACTAAGTATAGAGTTGCAGGAGCACAACTATGCCATTTCCAGTCCTTCAGTTCCAGAACAAGATGATGACTTCCACCCGACTGGCTTATCTGTAAACTTTCATATAGAGCTGGAACCCACATGTCCTTAAACCAAACCAATCCAACTAGGCAACACACACCATCAGTTTGACACACGACATTTACCCAGTGAGTAAAAACTCAATTTGTCTTTTTTTTTCTGCAGCCCTTACAATCGCAAGAATTGTGTAGCTATATATGTGCTATGATATCTATATATTATATGAGAATGCAGCTAACAGAGGCAGGCAACAGACACAGCACTTTGTGCAGCAGTTTCCGGGTTTTGCTTCTTTGAGCTCTTTGGCACCTGAATACTTTGTCCGGGACTGACAGTGTATTCCTGGGAACCTGAGAGCACTCTTGCTGGCAGATAAGGCTAAGGCTGTGGTAAGGGTAGCTCTGGCAGCTTCTAACTAACTCTCGTCAGCTGCCCTTGATGACAGGGTGCCTGCCTGTAGCCTTTGTCCTAACTGATCCCTGATTAGGGAGGATCATTAATGACCTGGACATGGGGCAGAGCATACCCTCAGCAAGTTTGCAGATGATATAAAACTGGGAGGAGTGGCAGATACGCAGAGGGTTGTGCTGCCATTCAGAGGGACCTTGACAGGCTGGAGAAATCGGTCAACAGGAACCTCCTGAAGCTCAACAAGGGGAAGTGCACAAATCCTGCACCTGGGGAGGAACAATCCCATGCACCATGCTTGGGGCCACCCAGCTGAAAAGCAGCTTGGCAGAAAAGGACCTGGGAGTCTTGGTGGTCACCAACTTGAACATGAGCCAGCAATGTGCCCTTGCAGCAAAGAAGGCTTATGGTATCCAGGGATGCATTAGGAGGAGCATTGCCAAGGGGCTGAGAGAAGTGATCCTTCCCCTTTTCTCAGCACTGGTGAGGCCACACCTGGAGTGCTGTGTCCAGTTCTGGCCCCCCCAGTACAAGATAGATATGGACATACTGGAGAGAGTCCAGTGAAGGGCCACCAAGATGATGAAGAGACTGGAGCATCTCTCCTATGATGAAAAGGCTGAGAGATCTGGAACTGTTCAGCCTGGAGAAGAAATGGCCCAGGGGGATCTTATCAATATGCACAAATACCCAGTAGGAAGGAATGAAGAAGAGGGAGCCAGGTTCTTCTCAGTAGTGCCCACTGACAGGAGATGAGGACATGGGCACAAACTGAAATACAGGAAGTTCCACCTTCCGTAAGAAAAAAAATAAATCTTTTTTTATTGTAAGGGTGGCCAGACACTGGTACAGGCTGCCCAGAGAGGTTGTGGAGTCTCTATGGACATATTCAAAACCTCAGTGAACACGGTCCTGGGCAACCTGCTTTAGATGACCCTGCTTTAAGCAGGGTGGTTGGACTAGATGATCTCAACAGCTCCCTTCCAACCTCAACCGCTCTACAATTCTGTGAACAGAGACATTAAAGGCTTCACTTTTACACATTTCTTTTCAAAAACTTTTCCAAAAGGGAATATTTTAATTTCTAGGAAAAAAACCTCTCCCCCTATCACATTTCCCCTGTGAAATACCTCAACAGAGAAGAAATTTGAATACTTCTTTTGTTCTCCTATTAAGTGGAGCTTGTTTTTCAGTTTCCCACTTGTTAAATACCACCCCACCCTTTAGCTCCTGGAATGCTGCTGTGCTGCCAGACAATATCAGAGCTCCTGTTTCAAGAAGACAAAGCCTGGGGCAGCGTCCTTCTGCCATCTGGTAGCTGCTCTAGCCTGTTACCTGGGACACTGGCATTCAGTTCCTGAGCAGGTCTCCCCTGGCCAGGCTGTCACAGAGTTGAATGTTACAGAAGAAATATTTCTAGCTTCCAAATGAGAAGGAGCTTTTGCTCCTTTGCAAAGCAATCCTCTGCCTGAATTACAAGTTATTACAGTACGGTCTAAAGGCAGACCTGTACTGCCTCACTCATGCAGCAAGGCTCCTTTCCTGTAAGTCATGAAGAACAGTTACAAGCTGAGCAAGAATAAAAATGCAAAGAATTTCTAAAAAACAGCAAATGGAGGAAGAGCAGAACTGCTAAACTCACGAGTTAATTTGATTCTGAGTGCCCTGGTGATGACTTAACTAAGAATTTTAGCTTTTACTCAGGAGCGAACAACTCCTAGCCCTGCTGAAAAGAGACTAAACGAACTGTGATACCTCAAGAACACCAAAACATGAGTAAGTACCTACTACTTTATCTTTGAAATGTAATTTTAAAAACCCCATAATTTTCTACTGTGTTCAGCAAACACTCAGTGACGAGTACAGTGGCTGCCTACACTGACTGATAGCATCTAGAAGTCAGTTTACCCTACCTTATTCAGAAAATAAATCATTTACTGAACTTGACTTTGGTGTTCAGAACCTAAAATTCCCAGTGACTGCAGTGGTTGTGCAGGTGGAGCCACAAAAGGAAAAACACAAAAAAGCCTTCAGCGAATTGTGACTTTTTTATTGTCGACATAATGAAATAGCACTGTGACGTGTAAATTGGGCCAGGAAAGCAGCTGCTGTTCCTTACCAGATGCACACTGCTGTCCTTATTCTCAGGAAGCACTATTTACAGCTGAAAATGAATCGATTCAACCAAGTGTGAGCAATACTATTACAACTTTGGCTCATACTGTGTTAGCAAGACCTCTTTAGCTTAGTTTGGGAAAGCTGTTTTAAATATTACAATCCCATGTTGCAAGAACATAGGTTTTCCTCTTGAGGGAGAAGTGCATGATTTCAGAAGGATTCTTAAAGGTTTAGAAGAAAATACTTCTGATTGCCTGAAGGAACACAAGTCAGAACATGAACGTGCAAATTCCTTCTAGCTGCTTATCCAGTCATGCTGTCTGTTACTGCGCAGCACTGCTCCATTTCAATGTGAATCACTAGGAAAATAGGAAGCCTTCAGCTTCCTAGTTTCATCTTACACAAATAATAGGGCCCAATCCTTCTCTCAGTTGGTGGGCTAGCAACTAACTCCCTGGCAAAAACAACACTTTGCAAAAACCACCATGAAGTTACCAATTTGCCAACACATGCAGTCATTTGTTTCTACAAGCAGAGTACACGGCTAAGATGAGAAAGTATTTGTGTACAGAATCAGGCAGAAAATATGAACAGCTTGCTGAGACAGCAAGCCCCAGTCTGCTGTGTGAGACAACCAAACTCAAGACTGACTGTGCTCCCCACGGCCCAGAAGCTGTCCCACCCCTCTCCCCTCTGCTGTGGGTGTTCAATTCACTAACCCAGCACAAAACTATTAACCCCGATGTTCATAGCCAGGGCCATCAACACTGGGTAGGCTGACTTGACCGATAGGTACTTGCTAGCGAATGACCTCTGGCTGTACATAAACGTCTCTCTCAAAAGCAAAAGACTGCTTCTGGTATCTGTGATCCAGGGGACTTCCTAGAATTGGTGTGAAAAAGTTTGGAGGGAAACAATCTACCTACGTTGCAACTGCCTATTCCTAGCTGGCATTAGGGCTCCTTGTAGCGTTAACTTTCCCAGTGCTTGAAAGCTGGTAGGCCTGCCAAGTCGGGGAAGGTGAAGGCGGCATTGACCATCACCCTCTCCACCTCAGCTCATGACAGTCTTCTGCAGAAACGTGCCTGTTCCACCAAATTCTTGTTTTCTATCCACCGCCTTGGTATTTTGACTCACTTTACCAAGTGTTGGAAAAAAAGGAGAAAATACTCTCATTTACCATGTTAGGTCACCATCTAAACTTGACAAATCTTCTCACAGTTCAGCACCTGCTGAAGACAGTCTGCACACTGAGTTATTAAGAAATAGGTGCCCCTGGATAGCTCTGGTTATAGGTGATCCCTCAACAGGCAAATCTTCCATGTGGAAAAAAGGTGGTATAGCCTTTCATTTGCAACTAAAAATATGCAAGAACTGCTTGAGTAGTTACAAAGAACAGAAGTATGATGGGACAATTCTGTACTACTTCTTTACAGAAAAGACGTAAGTGAAAATAATAAAATAGGTATTAATCATTCAGATCAAACCAAGTACAGATTTTCCCATAAATTTTTAGATTTCTGTCACATGACATTTGGTTACTCGCAGTGCATGACTTCCCCTGATGGAGTTTATAATGGCAAATTAATTTAATCAAACTCAGTGATTATGGACCTCTTAAATTGTCCAACACAACTGCTCAGACCCAGACCACAAACCCCACAACACAAGCCTGTTGTAAGTTCTACCATGCTCTGGAAGACATTATTAATTTCTTTCCTTTCATTAGGAAAGAGCTTAATGAACAGTGTTCCGTCTGGGATTATCCCACACCCAAGAGCTAGGATCCTCCTGGAAAAACACCAACTCCTCATTTCTCAGATAGTAAGCTGAATTAAAATATCCAAGGGAGGAGAAAACAGTATCTTAAAAAATATCTACAACTGTATATTCATGAGGATAATCTGTAGATTATCTATAGAAACTTCCAATTCAGCCATATACCAGTGAGGTGTTATAAACTTACATCAGATGGCCTACATTCAAACACGAATACTTCTGCTAGGCTAAAGGTTAGACACGTGAACTTTTGACTCAGCAATCACATATATTTGAATAATTACTGTCATGGTAGAAATGCTTTAATGACCTCAAGAGATTCCACAGAATATTTAACCCAGCTGAGGAGTAGCCATGTGCTCCTCAGGGGCAGGACTGGAGAAAAAAGAGAACAGTCTCCATGAAGGAAGATGTCAAAAAGTACCTCTGTGTGGTCTATGAAACAAATGGCTGACTTGTGGGAGCTTCTGAGATGAAGAGGTCACTTGTAGTGACACAGATCTTAAAAAAAAACATCTGGAGGCAGGAGCAACCAGAGACAGTAACAATGTTTAATATTCATCCACATCTGCCAGAGCATACTGACTTTTGGTCTTATTAAATGTTCCCAGGTTTCATTATTGTATTAGTGTAACAGTGGCAAGAGTAAATCAACAAAAGACAATCTCACACAAAGGAACTAGAAGTGGTAAAGAAAGAGGACAGGAAAAGTAAAATGAAGGGTTAATGGCATAATTTTTTGAGGTATATAAAGACTGCTCTTTTACAATTATCTGGAGCAATCTCTTCTGCTCCTACTCTAAACCAATAATTTCATTTCATTTTGATTTCCATTCTTATGCTTCCTTCTAATATTAGAAAAAACTTTTGGAGCTTTCAACAATAAATGTGAGGGAAAACGGAAAACTCTACTCAAGAAGACCAAAGCCTGCCTGAAGCCCACCTACCAGTCACTTGAAATTCAAGAGCCTTGGTTCCTCTCTCTACTAAACTCAACGGACTATAGTAGATGTGCCTCCACAGACCAATTCACTGTCCCTAAATCAGGAGCCAGCTACTGTTTAAAAGCAGACAATGTCAATAACCTGCCTTAAAAAGAGCCTTTTTTAATTATTAAAAAGAGCTTTTTTCATAATTGTTTTAATACAAGTAAAAATACCAGCTGCTAGCAACTACCTAGTAAAAAAAGAAAAAAGAAGTAAAAAGCAAAACTTCTGCATTATTTCAGGTAAAAGTGTTTAACAGAGACAGCAAACACTGGACATGAGGAATGAATAGCACATGTTATTCAGCAGTCTGCACTTAAATACTGACTTCCTTTCTTGACAATTTGTATTCCATGGGCCTGTGGAATTCCCTGTCAGTATCTGAAATACAGATGCATTAGTTACATGTAGCAACCTCTTATAACCACATGCTGCAGGACCTCTGTGCTTGAAATGCAGATTTTGCATTTTCCTAATGCTATCAAGTAATAGTTCTCACTTATACCGGATTAAAAGCAGTTCATACCAGCAACCTATTATTAAATAGTGAGACACTTTTTGCATGTTACCTTCTTTTACTTAATTCTCTTACAGAGATCATAAACCCCTTATTTTAATTTGAGACCACTACTGTACTTACCTAGGTCAATAAGTATTGCATGTTGCTGGGAAGTTAGTTGTTTTAGGAGTTCTTTATAAGGTGTGTCCTTTGGTTGTTGTTTACTTGGAAACTGATGTTTAAGATGGTATTGCTCTGCTAGAAACTTCCAGATCTCCCCACGGTGGTGACGTGGTACTCCTGAGAGAAGAAAGCCATTAAAACAGTAATTTGTACTCCTACTGAGGGTTCAGCTGTAGTTGACCTAACAGGATTGAGGAACTGAAGATCCATATCTGCTAGATATGCAAGCAGATCCCTATCTGCTAGATCCATATCTGCTATTTCCAGTAGACCATAGAAGCAGATCAAAATACAGTGCTTATATTTCCTCAACCAATAAAAGACATCAGCACCTTAACAGGAGAGATTTAAGGCGGAAACAGGATGAGCTGCCTAAATCTAAGGTTATCACCTACATAGAATCTGAGTAGTACTACAAGAGGCAGCAAAAATTGCAATATTGTCTCTGAAAAGTTATACACTTATCTCCCACTCTTCCATGTAAAGTACACACTAAAGCACTGCAATAGAACTAATAAACATTTTTCACTAATATAGCACTGACACTGTTGTTAGGAGTAGGTTTTAGGAAGGTAGCACGCACACATACCAAAGTATAAACAAGTACAAATGAGATGTGATCTAGAGACTACCAACAGAAGGCAGATAATCAGAAAGCGAGTATTGCATTTCTAGTTTTGTTATTGGTTTGATGATGTACATGTAAAAATGTTTTAAAGTTTGAATTTCTTCCTCTAAAAAAAGGGATGACACTACTTAACTATTTCACATAGGTAATGGTAGCCTTCATTTGTATCTATATGCAAAGCTCTGAAAATAACAGGAAGGTTATTGTTACATGCATACTTTATTCACCACAAGACTGGCACTATTAAACTGCCTACACAAGAAATCAATACGCCATTCTATGGGAAAGTATTCTGTCTAATCCATGATGTACTGGAACCAGATATTACAGTTTGAAGTAACTTACGGCTTAAAGATTTTTGGACTGCTTTTTCCTTTCGGTATATATGTAACATATGGATGATAACAATAGGAGAAATCAAAAATGACTCAAGCATACAACTTACATGGAAAAATAAGAAAACAGACTAGAGCAATTTATATGCTTTCTCTCATATAAGCACAAAAGGATATAAATTTATCTCTGCAGTACTTATTTTTACTACGCTATCATAATCCAGAGATGATTGCTTGAAAATGAAATCCTAGTAGAAATGTATAATGTTTGAATCCACACCACAAGCGGATTCAGAAAATGTTTCTGTAAATTACTTTAGGGAACTTAAAATGAATTATCAAAATGTCTCCAACATGAAACAGTGAGGGGAAAGTGCTTTTTCAGATACTGAATGAGGTGGGTTCTCCTCTTCAGATACACATCTAAAATCCCATTAGCTTCAGTGAAGCTGAATTTGTCATATAGGGTAGAACTGGCTTAATAGTGCACATTTACAGCTGCAAAATTACAAATCAATAAAATTTCCCTTTAAAGAAGTAGTCCATTATTAAGCTTATCTCTGTATGCCTCATCATACATGTAAAATAAAGTATTTAGTTTACTACTTCCTAAATGAAAGATACACTATATTTACACATGTACTACAGTGTACATTACAGGTCAACACTATATATTTATTATCCTACTTTAGCCCCCTGCTTATTGAAATCTGCATTTCTTACCTGCTTGCCTTGCTTACTCAAGTTACTTTTGATGGTTTTGGTCTAAACTAGAACTTGCTACACTCAATTTAAATGCATTTTTTATTTCTGCATATGTATGAAATTTGACATCACTCTAAGAACTCTTGACACAACTGGGCTCTAGAGAGCAGGGTATAATAATAGCATCAAGAGCTAGGGATAATTTCCCCATCTCTTGGATACTTGTATGTGCTTCTTATTAGCAATCCACTAAGCAGGGCTTTATTTATTTACTTATTCTGCCTTTCTCCAAGTTTTTTAAATTTAATTTTGAGATCTAACACAGGGCAGCATTACTGGGCTATCAATAGAAATCACATTTTTCTCATGTTCAAATATTGACCAGACAGATCCCTTTACCCACATGAATAGAAGGAAACCTGTGATAATGAGTTTTCCTTACTCCAAGGGATTTGTGCATGGGGCATTTGATATTGTTAGAAATCTAGACTTGCCTACTCATCTTAAATGGACAACTTGGTTTAACTCTGTTCAATACTTGCATATAGGCAGGTGCAATGTTTAAAATACTATCCTAGTTTCAAAAACTTTGCTAGTGGTTAATTCTTGACACTTCGTTTACATGATGGAAAGCTTTTTATAGAACTATAAAAAGCTCCTTGGAGTAATACTCTTCACCATCAGCTACATACAGGACTTGGCAAAAGGCCTTTGGGTCCAACCATGGCACAAATAACACTAACAACCCAATTTCTTAGCACTAAAAAACCAGGTTATATTAATTTTGATGCAGTGGAGAGAGGGGCTGGTTGTTCAGCCCTGCAGTTGTGAGGAAGACTGTAAGTGGTGTTTGCAGGTACAACATGTTGCTGAACTCAGAAAAAAGGCAGTTCTACAGAGATACCCATGTATACTGTTTGTATACACACATACTACCCAGGCTGGAGCGCAGAATTTCCAGATAATAGTGCAGACAGTTTCTTCAGTTATTTACACAGTCATTTCTTTGACATTATCCAGGCTTCTTTCTTTAATTATAACTTTTAATTTACAAAACCAGATTGCAACAATTGTAATTCACAGAATCACAAAATGTTAGAGATT